CCCACGTTATATGAAATTAAACCTTAAACAACATCCATGGTTCTAAGAAATGAAGCTGAATCCATCCAGGAAGAGCTGAGAGGCCAGGCAGGCCAGGATGTAGACCAGGGAGCATATTAGGCTATCCACTGGAAATAGGAATGACCTTTGTACACTGCACGGTGTGAAGAACACTTGCTTCATTGTCATTGGACAGTCTGTCCAGTCCAATCAAGTCACTTGGACTTTACTTCTCGGCAGTTTTGTCAACTGGCTGACCCCTTATTTTTGTGGTCAATATAACCAAGTTACTTTGAACTCTGATTCAGTGAATTTCAAAGGGCCATTCTCCTATCATAATTTCATCTCTTCTCATTTTTCCATTTTGTTATAATGACTACCATTATTTACTTAATCACATATGAATATGTAGAAAAGACACTAGAATGAAATACTTTTCAATTCCCTATGGTCAAGTTCCACATTTCCATTCCCTAGGTGGCCCAAGGGGATGGGTAACCAAAGAAGATATATTTAAAATTTGTTATTTCTGGAATTCCTCTACTCAGTCTGTTTACAGATTTTTTTTTTCAGCCCATTCTTGACACACATACAAATGTGTACCAACTGTCTACTTTTTATATTTGGATGAGTACCTGGAAATGCTATGTGGCAGAAGACAAGAATAAGAAGGGAACACAAGAGCACTGTAGACTTTAGTACTTACTCAGTCCTCTCCTCCATTTTACTCCAAGTAAGATGAGTTCTAGTTCTTTGTTTCACTCTGTTGCCATTTCTGAATTACTTTTTAAAAATGTGTTCCTTATTCATCTCTTAAGTCATTCCTCTTGTGTTGATGTCATACCTTCCTATTTTCTCAATCATATCCCCCCCTCCACATCTCCAACTACCCACTTTCTTTATTTTTCTTTGTGATGTTTCCAAACTACATGGCACCAAAGCACATATGAACATTCATCTTCACTAATGAACAAAATTGATATGAACTTTCTGATCCCCAAACAAAAGAATTTATGTTCAACTTGGAATTCTTTAGTGTTCTGGCCCTGGTCATTCAACTGGCATTGTTTTGTGGTTTGGGCTTCCTGCATAATTCTACTTCCCATTTATATGAATTATCCCATAACTATAAATATAGTTAACAAATATCATGAATATAAGCCTTATGACAAATTCCACTTCTAGGTCAATGGACCAACCATTGTTTCAGTTTAAATTCTTGATATGGAATGGTTACCTGGCTGGCTCCTTCGGCAGAGCATGCAACTCTTAATTTGGGGGTTGTGAGTTTGAGTCCCATGTTGGATACAGAGATTACTTAAAATTTTAAAAAATTCTTGATGTCAATAGTTCTTGAACCTAAAAAAGTGGATTAGTCTCATTCCAACATTCTTCTTCATATGGTATATACTGCAGAATTATCCATTAAAAGAAAGTCTCAAGGTCAAAGTGGAATCAGCTCCAGCCCTTACCAAAGCTAAAAAGCTAAAGGTATTTTGATGTATCTGCCATAGTTGTTATTTCATTGTCGATTAGAAGAAAGTGTGGTTGATCCAGTTTTATAGAATACATTATAGAAATTCATTTATATAGAATAATAGTTTTGTCATTGAAAAGAGGGCATAGTATATAGCTACAGTGTCTCCTATAGGCCTTGCACACAGTTTCAATTGTCCCCCATGTGGTAGCCATATGTGTGTTTTCAGCTGACTGAGTCTTAAGCCAGAGAGACTTTAGAGAAAGTGGAAGAGAGAGAAAACCAGCAAAATATCTTATTAGGAAGGGTGACATAGCATAATATGTTTTCTACCCTTAAGTACTGTATGTGTGTTTAAAAGAAAATACATATTGCATACTACCACTGTTCTAGCTATTTATACTCTGATAATACATTTTTAAGTCTGTTAGAACAAATTTGAAACAAATGATAAAGCTCGTTTAGCTATAAATTCTGCAAATGAGTGAATCAGTTGACATTCATTGAGTGTTCATGTGTGTAAATCAACCTTATGGTATACTACGCTTCAGAGCATAAATGTGATCAAGGGAGATTTGTAAAAAACAAAAATGTACACTGAATTTCACTGAAGGGAAATATGTAAAATGGGAAAATAGTAGTCCATAGACTCTAACTCACACATAAAATATATCAAATGTTTTGAAGTCCAAATAAAGGAGTTACTTAATGAAATATTAATGTTCATAATGCAATATTATAGTGAATAAATGCAAAGTCACTGGAATTACTAAGACACAAAGAATCAGCAGCTTTAAAACTAGGAATAAAGACTTTAGAAAGAATTTGGGTTAATCTTTTAGTTATCCTACAGAAAACTAAAAGCCAGGGGAAGTAAATCAGCTGTTTAAAGATACACAGCTCTTTCTTCTTTCTTTCTTTCTTTTTTCTTTCTTTCTTTCTTTCTTTCTTTCTTTCTTTCTTTCTTTCTTTCTTTTTTCTTTCTCTTTTCTTTTTTCTTTTCTTTTTTCTTTTCTTTTCTTTTTTTTTGAGCACCAGGATGGAAAATTTTCAACAACATCCAGCATAAACTTTCTACCCTCCCATTAGGGGCTGCTCTGGTCTGCCAATCTGACAGTGTCTGTCATCTCCACAGAAGAGATCTTCCCTCAGCCACGTGTGGTCAAGCACTAGCAGTTACGGGATTCTGTTTCTGGGGAACAAGCCATTCATGGGCAGATGAGAGATGAGAGATAATTACATTTTCTCCCTTCCTGCTTCCCCTATCATTTAGCCTGTCCATCCAAATTATATACACCTGCTTCTTTTTGCTCCATCTTCTCTTAGTGGGTTCGGAGAAACTGAGTAGTTTAATTTTAAGTTCTGCAGCAAGTCTATAAAATGTCTCTGACTTTCAGACAGAGATGTGGCACTGTTCACTTGCTCTCAGTGGGATTTGCACTTGCATTTTCACCTTCATCATATAATGGTGGACTTGCCAATCCACTGGCAAGCTTCCACCTGAAGCCTTTGTAACCAAGGATGCTGTGTGGTCACAGGCAGAGCAAATCTAATTGGACTCAAAAAGAGCCAACCCCAGGGTACCTAGGCAGCTCAGCGGTGGAGCGGTGGAGCGTCTGCCTTTGGCTCAGGTAATGATCCTGGGGTCCTGGGAAGGAGTTCCACATCAGGCTCCCTGCAGTGAGCCTTATTCTCCCTCTGCTTATGTCTCTTCCTCTCTTTGTGTGTCGCTTATGAATAAAAAATAAAATAAAATAAAAACCTGAAACCCATCATGTTTGATGTAGAATCATGAGATCTGATTAGCTGAGAGAACCAGTCACAATCCCCCTCAGTATCAGTCAGGGTTCTTAAGTGGCAGACAACAGCAACTGACTCTGACCATGTCAAGACACAAAGGAAGGCAATGGAGAAAAGTAAGGAAAAGCTGAAGGATCAGGTCTTGGAAGGTACTGGTCTGAAGCAGCTCAAGGGGAATCCGTGTAGCAAGAACTCGTAGAAACTTTCTTGAGTAGCGGCAAGAGTGAGCTCCAACATTTTTGAGCCTTGTGTCCATCTGCTCATGATTCCAATTGTAGGGAGATGGTTTGATGAGCCAAGCTGGGATCTTGTTGCCACTGCTTGCAGTGGCAAAACTCTTATGAATGCTCAGTCAATCCCACCATGCAACAGTGTAGGGGAGTTTTCCCAAAGGAAAATACAGTTGTTCTCGCTAGGAAAAACAAAAAACAAAAAAAACAAAAAACAAAGAAAGGAATATGGATGCTAGGCATTCAAATCAGCAGCTGTCCACCACATCATCAAAATGTGGTGGTTAAATTGCAGAGAAAGAGATAGACAGTAAGAGGTGAATAATGAAGTATATCTAGACAACAGCCTAGTAATGAGACTGATAAAAAAAAAAGTTATTAAAATCTGGTTCTGAGTCACAGTTTTAAATCAGCCTAAAGATTTTTTTTTCTTTGAGATGCTTCCAACACTACCCAAACCTTGCATGGTATGTTTGGGTAACTGGTCCATTAAGCATCTCTTTCCAGGCAGCATTACCTGCCTCCTACCCATCTGCCACCCATTCTTGTCTGGGCTACTCCTACTCCTTTGTCCTTACCAGAATCTGAACTCCGAGGCTATTTCTTCAGAAACCCCTTTGCTTACACTGGAAGATCAACCAAACACCATAGGATGTTTTACTGAATTTTCAAAGTTCAGCAAATGATGATTTAACTTTTTTAAAGAATCCAAAGCCAAACCTCCAAATCGGATGCAGAATGAGAAAAGTCATGTAAAACGCTTCCTTGAAGCTGCCTTCCAAGTGCTATCTTGGGCACACTTGGTGTAGCCCCCCTTTACTGAAATGTCCTGGTAGATGCTGTCCAGATGAAAGATCGTTCTCCACTTCTGCTGGAAGTACAAATCAGGCCGGCGTTTTGAAAAAGAGACAGGTTTATCCATCTCTTCAGGGTTAGATGTGGCTTTGTTCCCTGTAAAATTTCACTTTTGGTTATTAAAATATTCACTGTAGGAAACAAATTTGTAACCCATTTCTCATATTACCTACACACAGAAAAACAAAATTTGATATCCTGGGGTTTATTTGCTGAGGGCGCTTACCATAAAAGCGAGTGAGTATGCATTGGGAAATTCGTCTGGTTAACTCCTTATGGATAAACGTTAGTCACCAGCATCCCCCACCCCCCTCCTCCCCGACTCTCGCCCCCAGCACCCTCCCCACCTCCCGACTTCCCGCCTCTCCAGGGCTGGTGACCTAATAGCATTTTTCTTCATGCATATTTTGGCGTCGCCCCATGGCCTGGCTGCCTTCGCCTGTCTGAGTCTTTTGAAATTCCTGCATGTTCGCCCCAGATTAAGCCGAGTGTGTCTCAGGATGTGTGCTCCGTTTTGTTCTTTCCCCTTAACGCTCCCTGTGCAACGTGTCTGGGGGGAGGAGGACAGGACGGGAGGGAGGGGCAGAGGCGAGGAGCTGTCCGCCTTGCACGTTTCCAATCGCATTACGTGAACAAATAGCGGAGGGGCTGCCGGGCCAGAACTGCTTGTGTAACTTTGCAAACGTGCCAGAAAGTTTAAAATCTCTCCTCCTTCCTTCACTCCAGACGCTGCCCGCTCGCCGGGGCCGCCGCGCCGCTCCCCGCCGCCTTCCAGGAGGACTGGGAAAGAGGAGACAGGCGGGTGCCACGTCCCAGCAGCCGCCTTTGCTGGACAAGGGTCCGCAGCCCACCCTTGGCGTTGCTTGTAGGGACTGAGTTACCGGCCTCCCCGGTTGAAGATTTCTCCCCTCCCTCACGTGATTCGGGCCCCGTTTCTCTCTTCTCCGATCTGCGTCCTCCCGGAGTGGGAGCAATCAGGCAACGGGAGCGATGCGCTTCGCCTGGACCGCGCTTCTGCTCGGGCCGCTGCAGCTCTGCGCGCTCCTGCGCTGCGCCCCGCCGGCAGCCGGCCAGCAGCAGCCCCCTCGCCAGCCGCCCGCGGCTCCGGCCGCCTGGCGCCAGAGGATCCAATGGGAGAACAACGGGCAGGTGTTCAGCCTGTTGAGCCTGGGCTCGCAGTACCAGCCGCAGCGCCGGCGGGACCCGGGCACCACCGCCCCGGGCGCTGCCAACGCCGCAGCCCCGCAGCCGCGCACGCCGATCCTGCTGCTCCGCAACCGCACGGCGGCAGCGCGGGAGCGGGCAGCAGGCACGGCGGGGGGCGCCGGCCGACCCAGACCCGCCGCCCGCCACTGGTTCCAGGCCGGCTACTCGGCGTCCGGGGCCCGCGACGCCAACCAGACCGCGCCGGGAGAGCGCCCGGCGCTCAGTAACCTGCGGCCGCCCAGCCGCGTGGACGGCATGGTGGGCGACGACCCCTACAACCCCTACAAGTACTCCGACGACAACCCCTATTACAACTACTACGACACGTACGAAAGGCCTCGGCCTGGGAGCAGGTATCGGCCCGGATACGGCACCGGCTATTTCCAGTACGGTAAGCACCCCCAAGTCGCAGGAAGCAGCCGCGCACCCCTTCCGCCACTCGTGGCTCCCCAACGTGGCTGCCTGGGCGCGGCAGGCCTTAGTCCCCGCGGCTCCGATCCCTCCCCCTGCGCCTGCAGAGGCAGCCCTGGAATCCGGTGCAAACCGCGCGCGCCTGGCCCCTCCTGCTTTCTTTCCACTTTGCTTTGCAGCCCTTGGCGTCCCCCGTCCTCCTGCTACCCGCGGCCCGCTTGGGTGAAGGGCGAGGAGTCAGGGACACGGAGGGTACCCGGAGCTGGGGTAGGGGGTGCTGGGCTGGCTCACAGCTACCTATCCCTATCGTCTCCTGACGTTTAGGTCTCCCGGACCTGGTGCCAGATCCGTACTACATCCAGGCGTCCACGTACGTGCAAAAGATGTCCATGTACAACCTGAGATGCGCTGCAGAGGAGAACTGCTTGGCCAGGTACTGGTCGGGCTCTCCGCGGCCGGGCTGCCCCATCTGTGGGTCAGGCGCTGCTCCAGTGCCTGGTCCTCCTGACTGCTGCTCTTGTTCCATGCACACAAGAATTGGGAAATGCGGCAAGAGCTGGGAAGTGGAATGTGGTCTCCTGGGCATGCTGAACTGGATGGAGAGTTTAACATTTTCAAGATTTCTGTGGGTTCTGACTTTCAAACTGTGACACACATCAGGGAGATGGGGTAAACCCTAATCCTGGAGAGTTGAGATCTCGCGTTCTTTTTCCAAGACCCTCAGACTTTGGAGCTAGTGGTTTCCCATAACTTTCTATCAAAGAACTGTACAATACCATGGAAAAAAATTTGTAATGGAAGAGTTTGTTAATAACCCCTTAAAACACAGAGGGCTAATTTGCCAGTGTGGCACCCTTCATCAGCAAAGGTTAGGTTTTCTTCTTTTGTTTGAGGCCACAATTTAATTTCGTTGTTTTGGTATTACTTCAGCCAGAATAAGAGCATGATCAAGAGCTTTGTTTTTGAATCAGTCCTAAAATAAAGTCATAGCAATTTGGGGAATGGAATTCTCTGACTTTGCCGCTGGGAAACCAGCAGAGGGAGCAAAAGATGTTTTGATAGGTCTCATAAAATTTTTTCAAGTGGGAAGTGAAAATACTCAACAGTATGTGAATATATATTCCCACAAAATATTTTAGAAGGAAGAGAGTAGTGTTTATCTGTTCAGTTGTATACTTCTTCCACTTTGACCCATTGTAACTGTCAGGCTAAAGGAAGAGAAGAAAGCTGAACTCAACCATTTTGAGTCTTGCACCCCCTAGGATGTTATTACAGTCATGCCATTGTTTTCAAGACAGCGAAATTGCAAAATTATTTATCTAATCTGGGTGTATGCTTCTAGAATTATTTCCCCACTTTACATCTTAGGAAACTATTTAAGAAGAAATGTATTGTTAAATTCAAAGTTCTTAATAAGTACATATGATTTTTTAAAAAAATTTGATATAACTGCTACTCATTCATGTGGCTAAATAAGAACTGACTATAAGTACAAAATTTACTTATCACATGTACACTCTTAATCCTAATTTTATTATACTTTTTAACTGCAGGTTTCTATAGTGGTCATTCATTCACTGATTCAACAAATATTCACTGAACTCTGACCACTTGCCAGGCATCATTCTAGGATCTGGAGATTCAGCAATAAACAAAATAAGCAAAATGCCCCAGGTCTCTTGCAACTGATAGTCTAGTTGGAGGTGGGAGGTAGTTGCCATTATAAAATGGAAAGGGTTTTGCTTGTAATTCATCTTTAGATAGTATCCTGTGAAAGTACTAATGTTTCCTTTTTCAAAACCACAGCTCAGCATACAGGGCAGATGTCAGAGATTATGATCACAGGGTGCTGCTAAGATTCCCTCAAAGAGTGAAAAACCAAGGGACATCAGATTTCTTACCCAGCCGACCAAGATATTCCTGGGAATGGCACAGTTGTCACCAGTAAGTGGATGGGCCTCCTAGGTCCTTCTGAGTTGTGTTTTCCTTTTTTTCAGAGTTCTTGATGTGACAAGTGCAAAGTCTTATTTCTTACAGAAAAGGGAGAAAATTACTGTTATGATTACATTCAGAATTTTCTCTGTGTAATGTGACATCATCAAGGAAACATATCAGCTACAAGATCATGTTATCTTTTAAAATGGAAATTCAAATCCAGCTCGTTAAAATTCTAAGTCCAGCTCATTAAAACTGCTGATAGGGATACAGCATTGGTTTCCCTAGTATTTTTTCCAATGTATTATAGGTAAGATTTCCAAAAAAACACTTGTTCTAGCCAAGATCACCTACAGTTAGTCAGCATTTCATAAAGTCCACAGGTGATCAGAAGGATTCATATACCAATCTCAGAGAAAAATAGAGATGATATACTCCATGAGCTGAGAAGGACCTACCTCTGTCTTTTAAAAGGCCTGTATCAAAGCCAGGGTAATAGCCTGCTTTGTCCTAAATTTAAAGATCTTTACAGAAGGTGGTTCTATGATTTGCCTTGGTAACTTGTCCAGGTAATCCTGATGGGTGCCCTGAAACCTTCTGCAATTTGAGCAATTTTTTCTTGTTCTTTCCTTATATGAGAAGATAAACATCTCAGTACCTTCCCTGAAATGAGAGAAAACAGATATAAACACCGAATTTTCTGATAAAATAAAATTATTTTATTTCTCAATAAAAGTTTATACTTATTAAATAATAATTGTGGGAAAAACATACCATTATTTCTCCTTTGCATTTTAGTAATGGTTTTGCATTTTTAAAAATCTCACAGAAACCTCCCATGAGTCATGTGCTCTTCTTTTATTTGGAATGAAACATCAATCCTGGCAGCCAAAGGAAACAGATTAGAGAGTATATGGCAGGTTTTACTTAAACACAGATAATTTAGTATCTATTTCTATTTAATATTCAAAGATAAAACAGGGTGTAATAGGAAAACAAAATATTCAAACTAAGTCATTTTTTTATTCCTAGAAGCAAAGTTAAAAAGCTTACAATTCTGATAGATCTCCATTCCTAGGAAAAAGGGCTAGCATGAATCTGGCTTTAAGAAGATAAACTTGATCTCAATTTTAGTGTGAAAACACGTGTGGGAGGCAGTGGGGGAGTCACCTAAAGTCCTCATGGCTTTGTTTCTCTGTATGTTACTGACATCTGTCTCTGTGTTGTGTGGGACATCAGGCATTACCACAGCATGGATGAATTCAGCCACTATGACCTACTTGATGCCAGTACCCAGAGGAGAGTGGCTGAAGGCCACAAAGCCAGTTTCTGTCTTGAGGACACATCCTGTGACTATGGCTACCACAGGCGATTTGCATGTACAGCACATACACAGGTAGGTTGGCCCTCTGACATCAGAAACCCAAAAGCTTCAGAGAGAAAACTGTGGTCTTCTCTTTTCTTTCCTCCTGCCACTCTTTTAGAAACTATTTCATTTAGGGGTTCATCTGATCAAGATGGAAAATAACTGGGAAAAGGAAACTGGTCTCTTGAGGATTTTATTATTTATTTATTTATTTTATTTATTTATTTATTTATTTATTTATTTGGAGAGAAAAGTTGGGGATGGGCAGAGGGAAAGAGAGAGAGACAGGGAATTCCAAGCAGACTCGAAGCACAGAATGAAGCCTGACGTGGGGCTCAAACTCATGACCCTGAGATCATGACCTGAGCTGAAATCAAGAGTCAGACAATTAAGTGACTGAGCCACTCAGGTGCCCCAGATTCAAAGTAGTTTTTAAAGACTTTCATCATTTCAAAAAGTCAATGTGCATAATCGCTATGTTCCATAGTGAAAAGCAGTGGTTTAGTCCCTGAACAAATCTGACGGGCTTCCAGTATCTGCACTCATTCTGTACTCTTTAACTGCCTCGGTAAATAACTGTGGAGGAGACACTTCTGTTTTCTCACCTTCAAAACCATTCCTCTCTCCACCCATTAAGCTAGAGAGAGAACAGTGATTGGGGTTAGCCAAAGAGAGAACCTAAGTTTCTTACAAAGCACCTCAGAATCAGTCTCTTTTAAAGCATGCAAATGAGAGCGGAAGGATATAATTTCTTTTTCCACACGTATATAGTTAAACCTACGGTATAATTGATGTCAGATGTCCTTTGTGGATTTTTAAAAATCGTGCTGACCTAAACAGTGTGTATGTCTTATAATGGGAAAATGTGTGTCAGTTAAAAGCCAAGCCAGTATTTCTATAAGAAACCCTCATTTTTATAAAGGGACATTATAATTTTACTCCAGCGGAAATCTTGGCAAGGGGCAGTGAATGTGCATGACGCACCAAGGGATCAGCAGCTGGCATTTCAGGGAGCAAATTCCAAGGCTGTGGCAGGAAGCTTTTCAGTGACCTAAATGTTACCACTGCCTCTTCCTCTGAGCTTAAAACATCATAGCAATTGCAGAGGGAAAAGATTCAATTCCATGCTCTGGGGGAAGCAATGCACTACTCTAAGTAAAAGTTGATGCAACCTACCCACATTACACATATGTGGGCAGAGAGATTCCCTTTACACTCAGTGATCCACAGTCACCATCTGCCCATGTTGTGGCTGGAGTTTATTCTCTCCATTTAGAAAAAGAGGCACTATGGACAGCTGTGTGTTGAAATATTTGAATTTAAGTCTATAGCTATATATAGTACTTCAGTCTCTCAATTCCCTGGGGTGACCCAACTTCATTTTCTATGGGAGCTTTCTGACTAATCATCTTCTGTTTATATCCTATTTAACTACTGTTCACCATGTCTTACGTTAAAAGTGATTTGTTTATTCGTGTTTTTCACTATACTGGTGTTTCTTTAACATGGACTTCATTTGAAGGCACAAAAAAAAAAAAAAATTCTCACAAAGCCCCAGTGTTGACTTAGATTAGTTGTATTACAATGTTGTCTAAGTGTATCCAAACATAAAAGATATAACTTCCTTATATCTATACTTCCATATAACCCTTAAGTTCTTAGATAACGAATTTACATTTTCAACATATATGAAACTAGAAACAGTTACATTAACGTCATTAATTTAATGTAACCAACAGTTCTCTTTTGCTAAAACCAATCAGCTAATTTAGCCAGCACTGGCGAAAGCTCTACATTTCACCTGTTTTTAAAGTTTGACTGTGAACATGTGATATGCTTGTTTTTTTAAATAGTCTTAAAAATTCCTATTATTTGTGTACAAGTTCAAATAATCAAAAACTTAAATCCTGCCAGCTGGAGTACCAACTTCAGCACTCTTTAAAGCTCTTTTGTTCACTTGAAGGTAAGATCAGTACTGTAGCATTCTTTAAAGTCTTAAATTGATAGCTAATCCAGTCAATGGAGGTGTTACAAATATATGTAGGGGTGGGACTCCGAGTTAGCAGCAGAGCAACAATTACAATAGCTAGCACTTACTGAGTATCTACTACTGCCAGGATCAGAATTAAATGTGCCGGGCCCGGAAACTAAACAATCTTCATCTGGTTCTCCTGCTGCGGCACAGGTACTTTTGAGTTTGGCCTGTGTGTACTGCTGTGTGCTGTATGAAAGCACGGTGCTACACCATTCTTCCCAAATTAGGCAATAGCCATACTGGCATTGATAGAATATGCTTGGCGGGTTTTGCCATCTCTTTGGTGATCAAAGTGTTCTTAAGACCAAAGAAATTTTGGGTGCTGAAATTAAATGGCAGTAATGAATTAAAATGATTCTAGCATATGATTTTAAATTTACTTTAGATGAGCATTAGAATGAAAATATAACAATTCAAGCTTCTCAAGAAGAACTAATGGAACCAAGAACCCACCTATGGACTTCAATTTAAGCAAATTTTCCCAGACTGTAACTTTCTGGAGAGTAAGGACCCTATCTATTAGAATTTTTCTCCTCCCTACCTGTAGAAGGCAATCATTTCCTTATAGAAGTATCTTAGCAAGTGGACTGATGTGCTGATATTCATTAACTGAGGCATACATTCATCCTTTTCATTCATAAAATATTTCAGTGGGATATGAGACAGAGAATAGTGTGGTGGTCAAGACTAGGGACCCTGGACCCCAAACATCTAAACTCAAAACCAGCTCAGCCATTTGCTAGCTATATATCCTTGAGTGACTTTATTGACCTTAAAGTGACTCATTTTCCTCATCTGCAAAATGGAGATAATAATAGCACCTATCTCATGTACTTGTGAAAATTGAATTTATAAATGTAGTATGTTTAAAATTGTTAAACATAACAAAAATGCAACAAAAATCCACCCTCAGGGAGTTTATAATCTCTAGTTAGATATATTCTTATACAGTACCGTTATAATACAGAGCGTTAGAGGACAAACACTATAAAATCTGGGCAGAGTAAGGGAAGGTAATTTCCAAGAGAAAGTGGGAAGGGTTGTACTGACGACACTTGAGCTAGGTGGATTATTACATGGCCATTATTCTCAAACTGGTGATATTCTAGAATTTTGATGGAAACCTGTTCTGTCAATTTAAGATTGTATTTATCGCTGGTGATTGATGACACTTTTAAGAAGCTAGATGTACTACTACTTATATTAGTCCTGTATTTTTTTTAGCTGGAGGTGCTATAAGGCTGAGTAATATATACTTCTCAAAGGAGATGCAATATAAGTATAGTTTTATGTCAAACTCTTGTAAGTACTAACTTAAAATTTAATTTGCAAATAATAAGCACATTCTTTAGCATACTCTTTCCATTTATCCTCTTTTTAAATGTTTAAATTTTATTTGTTTTAGGGGTTGAGTCCTGGCTGCTATGATACCTACAATGCAGACATAGACTGCCAATGGATTGATATTACAGATGTAAAACCTGGAAACTACATTCTAAAGGTAGAGACTTTTGAAAATATAAACCTATAATTTATTTCGATTGCAACTCAATGGGCCTCCCCTTCTGAATCACTGTTAAATAATCACAATCGTGCAAGCAACTATACGCCTCCTAGAAATATTTCTTACCAACCCACATATATGAAAAAAAAATTTAAGGAACTTTGGGGGAAAATATATAGCCTCTTTCTATAACTTCTCCAGAACTTTACCACTTGCCTAACTTTTTAAATCCCCTCCCTGCCTGATTTAGTTGAAGCGTTTCCTTGTTCTAGCCCTGTGGAAATAGGAAGAGATTAACCAGCAAACACTGCTGATGAATTCTGAAACATGGATGATGTTTATGTTGCCTAGGTCAGTGTGAACCCCAGCTACCTGGTGCCTGAATCGGACTATTCCAACAATGTCGTGCGCTGTGAAATCCGCTACACAGGACACCATGCATATGCCTCGGGCTGCACAATCTCACCGTGAGTCCCATTTGCCTAGTTTCATAATTCTCTTCTCAAAGTGTTTTAGTTCACTGACAGGCATTAAACATATATTTGTATTTTTTTAAAGATGTTTATTTTTATTTATTTGAGAGCAAGAGAGTGAGAAAGCAAAGGAGAGAGCACGAGTGGGGGGAGAGGTAGAGGGAGAAGCAGACTCCCTTCTGAGCAGAGAGCCTGATGATGCAGGGCTCAGGGCTTGATCCCAGAACCCTGGGATCATGACCTGAGCTGAAGGCAGATGCTTAATCGACTGAGCCACACTGGTGCCCCTCTAAGTGTCTGTTTCTAATACTACTGCAGCTTCCTTATAAGACGGTCCATGTTATCACATCATTAGAGCTGATCTTTCTTTGACGAGCTAGAGAAGGGGGTGGGGAAATGTACTCACGTTTTTATCATCTTTTTTTTAATCATCTTTTATCATCTTCATCTAAGTTCAGCTAAAGCTTAGCTTCCAAGACAAGACATACACACAGAACACGCTGTTTATCCAAAAAGCCCGTGTGGTGGCTGAATATGTAAAACATGCAATATGCAGTGTGGGTGACCTTGTGGGATCCCAAACAGTTGGATTTCCTGTCTCCTTGCCAGAATCCATGAAGCAGCTCTGAAGAAATTCCTAGAGTTCTTTAAAATACATTTTGAAAATCATTGCCTTAAAGTATTCCAACTGAAGAGGTCAGACTGCCTGTTCTATAGAAACCCAAGATTTTACAAATTTGAGTTCTAAAACCACAAGTACTAGAAAAGTGCCTTACAAAAGGAAGGGTGTGTGGAGGTTCCTCTGTAATTTTCTTAAGCCCTGGAACCCTTCTGTGAATGAAATCTTAGAGGGAATCCCAGCACATGAATATTAACAGGGGTGGTGCTGTGATTAAAGTAATGGGACCAAGGTTAGGTAGTTTGATTTGCTTGTCTCTCTTCTACTCCATCCTTAAGCTTACCTGCTCTAGTATTTCTGGGTTAGTGATCCTAACTTCCTAACTACCTGTGCCACCTGTGACTGATCACAACAGAAAAACAGCATTAGAATGATATTGAACATGCATCCATGCAGGAGAGGCACCCATGTCTCTGGGTCACATGGAGGCCTGTCAAAGAGCTACGGTTACACTTAATAAACATTTCTCCCAGATACTCAAACCAGGACAACATTTGGCCACCCATATATCTGTAGTTTGAGGGGTTTCCCAACTTCCCTAAACCTCATTGTTCAGGTTGTCTTCCACACCCGGGCTCCTGGCCAGGGGATGTGTGAGGCTTCAATTGAGCAGTGCATGTTCAATGCGTAGTGTCTTGGGTTGCGTTCACCTTGGAGGGAGCCCTTTCCTTATTCCATAAAGGAGCAGAACCTGTGCTTTACAAGTGTCATCACAGCTTTGGAGATAGATGCAGCCTAGAACAGCAAAGGGACAGCACAGAAAATAAGATAATCAAATATATTCTTCTGAACATGCCCACAGTGCAGAAAACCTGGCTGGGTTTATGGCCCATATTGTGTGGAGCTGGTCAAAGTATAAATGAAGATCCTCAGCACATAAGTGTAATTTAAGCAAAAATAAAGCATTATAAAATACATGGTTTAATTAATTTCTCTTATTTTTTATCATTCCTTATTCACTTATTCTCTATATATTCATTGACAGTCTCACTTTTGCACTGTGTATTTATTGAGGTCCTTCATCAGGTGTTAGAGAGTAATACAAAGATAAATATGATTTCTGACCCTTTACTGTGCCCCTTTAGCTGTATTATAATAATTTGCAATTAATTACTTGTGGCTCTCCTGTATAATGTTTGTCTCCTACCCACTCTGACATGGTTGGGACCTAGACACTCTTGTCCACCACTGGATTCCCCGGGGGCAGGCCTACCACCATGTAGCCTCTCATTCCACATTCAAATAATAGAGAAATGACCCTCTCCTTCAGGGACTTCAGGATGTGGAATTGAAAGGCCAAGAGAAATACACATATAACTGTAGCAGAGATACACTATGAAAATTCTAAGAGGGGTGAAATAAAATGTAGAGGAAACAGCAGGACCTCTGCTATAGGCTAGTGGACTCCCAGGTACAACTGCTGGCCTTGCACTGAGAACAGGTCTGGAGACGTGAGTCTTTTTGCATAGAATATGTCTTACTTTTCATCAGTAAAATCTATTGAATTGGGTATTGCCAGGTATTTAAAACAAATAAAAATTATTATATTGCTCCAGCACAGTGTTGTTCTTTTTTTTTTAAACCAGTTGTCACTAACTACAACTAAATTTTAAGAGTGGTTGAGGTAACATTTTAATAAGCAATAACGATCAGATGGAAATATGAGATGGTGTGATGACCCATAGTGACTTGTAATCAAATAACAAGATCCACTCTATGTGTGGAAAATAACGAGAGCTGTGCAGAGATCATGACAGAGGAATCCTTACCTTCAGGAGAATGATGCCTGGCCTCCTTTATTCTTTCATTTCTGGTCTCCCTTGTGAGGGATCAGCATTCAGGGGAAGGAGAGATTTCCTCTGGCTGAGACTCAGGAGTGGCTTTAGGAAGCATTTGAATGGAGCCTTGAAGGCTGAGGAGGATTGCACTGGGGGCAGTTAAGGGAGGGCATGCCAGGAGAGGTCAACATCCTGGCTGCCCTGTGGCAGGAAGAAACTGCAGGCGTGTTTGGAAAACCAAGTCATCTAGTGTGGTTAAGGAGTTAAGATTTGGGTGAAAAGGATGGAAAGGTAAATTGGGACCAGGGAGCACTGAAGAGCAAGCTAAAAAGTTTGAACTTCATTCTAAAGGCCATGGGGAGTCTTTGAAGTTCTTGAGGAAGGAGTCTAACTTGCTAAACCTAAAGTGTGGTCAGTCTGGTGGCTCTGAGAGCAGCCCTGCCTGTGATTCCCTTGGTAATGTTATTGAACTTTTTTAATTCCTAAAGACATATAGACATATCATCTCTCAGTTCGCCTCACTGTTTTCATCTCATTGTTTTCATGCTAATCGCATACCGAAGAACATTCCACTGGTAGGTAAAAACTACCCAAGAAGAGAGGGTGTGCCTTTGATATATCCACTCTCTCTCTCAATCTTTTAAAAATTTATTTATGAGAGAGAGAGTGACAGAGAGAGAGAGCACGGGCTCTGGGGGAGGAGCAGAGGGAGAGAGAGAATCTCAAGCAGACTCCACACTAAGTGCAAAGCCCAATGCAGGGCTCGACCTCATGACCCTGAGATCATGACCTGAGCTGAAACCAAGAGCTGGATGCTTAACCGACTGAACCACCCAGGTGCTCCACCTCTTTCTTTTTCCCCATTGTAAACAAAATGTATGGACCGAGGGACTGTGGTTCAGGTCAGCTTTATGATACTATGATTAAGTTCTCTCTCACAAAACTTAGTATCTGGAAATCGCTGGCTTATGATTTGGAATGCTTCATTTCTTTACATGAGGACCTATGATCACAGTGTAAACAACATATTTGATTGGTTGGCTTTGACTCAGTCTTTGCCTATTAAGGCATCAGTCTACATCCAAAACAATGCTGGGAAAGGAGTAATGTGGGACAGTGCAGAGGCCATGAACCTGCTTCTAGGTGGGCATACATTGCTTGCTCCATGGAGTGAACTCATCTGGACAGGGCTGTTGGTTCTTTAAGTCCTGCTTTTACTCCTGGTTACTGCAGAGGCTGTTTCTTTTCACTCTAAACATTAAGTCTGTAGGTATCAGGTATACACTTTCTGCTACTAACATAGTCTCTTCCTTTAAATAATTTTTTTTAGAGATTTTATTTATTTATTTATTTGAGAGAGTGAGCGAAAGAGAGACAGAGTATGGGGGGAGGGTGTCGGCAGAGGGAGAAGCAGGCTCACCACTAAGCAGCCAAATGCAGGACTCAATCCCAGGACTACAGGATCATGACACAGCCGAAGGCAGACGCTTAACTGACTGAGCCACCCAGGCACCCCTCCTTTAAATCATCATTAAAATAATGTATTAATGAGTAATTTCACGAGGTGACTATTGCAGACTACTGCAGAGGTGGAGGGAAATTGCCAGATTTTTTTTTTTAAAAGATCAACTTTAAACTTGTCTACTGTACTCACTCATAATATTATCAAGTTAATAATTTGTCTTATTTTGTTTTCTTAATCTAGGTATTAGAAAGCAAGCCAAAACTCCCAATGGATAAATCAGTGCCTGGTGTTCTGAAGTGGGAAAAAAAATAGATTAACTTCAGTAGGATTTACATAATTTGAAAGAGTGAACAGAAAACAAAGGAACTTTTGTTTGGACTGTTTTATAACATAGCACATAACTGGATTTTGAACATGTAAATTGGCATTATTTGGGAAATTTTTAATATCATTCATATCACTTTGTGAATGAACATGGTGTTTTCATTCTGTAGATGCACACTTTGGCTCTTTGAAGGAAATCCAAATTTCTTATGCTCCTTTGGAAATTATGGTGGAAAAGGGAAAGTAACATTTCAGTGTTTCAAAATGAAACAAAATTACTAGGAAGTGAGAATTTTCTTAAGTGCTGAAACTTAAGTGAACCAAAACACTAACTGGCTTGTATTTGTCTTAGTATAGATTAATTCAGAAAGGAGGCTCCTACTGTTCAAATAGATACAGACACATTTGGTGCTGAGCAAGGAACAAAGATTACCATTGGTGTCAAGCAATATTACTATATAGCAGAGAAATGGCAATATATGTATTCAGATAGTTACATCCCTATATAAAATTTATGTTTACATTTTAAAATTAGTAAACTCCTGTCTTTCTGTTCAGTGTACCATTTCATTCTGACTTAAGTCAGCTTTTGTTTTGGAACAAAATGAGTAACTGAGCTGTCCAATTCCTGCCTGACATTCGTTGATGCTGCCTTAATTCTTTAATTTTCCTATAGGCAGAGACCTTTTAAGTGGCATTCTTAAAATCACCATTCTGGGGACTGGTGTATGGAGGACAGCTTTGTCTATGGGAGGTCATTCTGATGACAGATGTGATATATTCAGAGATACTAGCTATGTGTTTAAATATATAGAACTATTAGCCTAAAAATTTTCCTGGCTGACATACAAATCATACAAACAAGTCCCCAAACCACAATTGTCTCTCACTTTAAAAAATTAATTAAAAAAATCTTAGGTTTTCAACTTTTTTACATTTTTCTTTAATGTTTAGCTTTAAAATGAAGAATGCTAAAAACAATTTAAACTATCCAGAATAGAACATAGTATCTGGATACAGGAACATTATCAAGGTCATCAAGGAATCAGTAACATTTTTTTTTCTTTTTCTTTCTGTATCTGAAGTATAAACCAAATTAGCAAAGCACATAACATGACATAATTGAGGGGTTGGTGAATAAGGGGAAAAAAAAACCTTTCCATAAAACTGAAGGACTGTGCTGCATAATGAGACAGCTGTGATTTTATTTTAAAACTGTGAAACCATGTGCCATAACAAAATTTGGAAAATTCCTTTTTTTCCCTAGTTCTAATAGGTGCAGAGAGAAATCAAATGACACTTTTAAGTTAGTGGTGCTTAGACAGAAGTCTTCCTGCATTAACCAATATTAAAATCTCAAGCAAGGGATTTCCAATGCCAGGACATGTTTGGTAGAATTTAAAAGTGAGTTGGGATCCCTGTATTACATGTCATAGAGTTGTAAAGTCAATCAACACCAACTACTAGGAGTCTTTCTGCACTCACTAGTGTCTAGCACAGCAAGAGGGTCTAGAAGATGGACAGTCATCCAGAGGTGGATGCAATCCTCATCTGCCAACAGAGAATGCAGCTTGATAGAGACCAGGAACTTTTATTGATCTGGTATCTGAGCTATGGAATAGTTTCTTTGATGTACCTCTTTGCCTTATATTGCTTTGTTAGTTTTAAGACTGTAGAACCATCCTTTCAAATCATAATCTTTTTTAATAGAGATATTTTAATATACTTGCTTTAAACACACACACACACACACACACACACACACACACACACACACACACAAAACTACTGTCAGTATTAATACTGAGCCAGACTGGCATCTACAGATTAAGGCCTATCATTTCATTAAGATTCTTACCCCTATAAGAATTATATTATGGCCTTTGGACATATATGAGAAGACATTTTCAATCATTCACTGAGCCTTCCACCTGTCTGTCCACCCATCGTCATTTGAGGGCCTAATACGTGTCAGGCACTTAGATGCTAGGCCTTGGGATATTAAAAAAAATCTCTCCCCTAACTTCAATAGGTATTAAAAATGTCATTATTACCCTTTAGGTTCACCTTATTTCATTTTTAACAACTATACATGTATGTCTAAAGTTTTTCTATTTTTAGCACTATTGTTTTTCATGACCATATTTTATTTTAAAAAATAAGTTAAAATAAATAGTTATATGCATGTATGTGTTACTAATAATTAAAACTATGTTTTCAATCATTAAAATGTCTGCCTCTTAAATATAACACCTACTATTTGGTTGGTTTTTTTAAAATAACTTTCAATTAGGAGGCTAAAGATTCTTGCTTATTCCTTATGTAAATATTCCTTCCTCCAACTACCCCTAAACACTCTCAAAAAACTTACACATTCAAGGGATTTCTCCTTTAAGTAACTACAAAAATTGTAATGATTAGCTGGTAAAAGTCACCCATTAATAAAATTTAAATAAAAAACCTAATCCAGTCTTACCAAACTCCACATAAAATATTTTTACAATAGGAAGCAGAAATAATCCTAAAACTGTTGAGTACTGAAAAGAAACTGGCTTTTAAATTAATAAAGACTAAAAAAATGAACTAAATAGGAAAATAATTTATTGATTCCTTCCATATGCCATATTTGTGGCCTCACACTTATTCAGACTACAGTCTGGATTAAAGATGTCTTGACCTTTAAAGCTAGGATTCAGTTTCCCAGCAGTACCATAACATATGAATCCACACATATCCATAAGAATCCATTGCCTATTTCCAGGGAATCTTTATATTTTTACATAGTAATTTTATTCACAATCTCTACCATCTAATTATTCATTAGGTATTATTCATAATAATGAACAATTTTTTCTCTCTTTGAAATTTCATAGGATAATCCCACATATAAACATTCCCAATATTCAGGTTCCGGAGGAAATGCAGTGCACTAAAATGATTGCAGCACTGAGAATTCATCTTCAGCAAACTTTCTGAAAATACAGACAATATTTTGTTTTAAAAATACCTTGTTTTGATATTAACCATATGGTAACTGATAGGTAAAAATTACCCTTTTCCTGTATTTTTTATGTTCAGAATTTATATTCACAATCAACATATTCAATCAACAGCTTGATTTCATTCCCAACTACTAAAAGTCCTGGGCCACTTTTGAACACTTAAAGCATTTCATTTATCCTTCAAAACAAAATGGTGCTGAAATACTTCAACTTGAATGTAAAATGTATTAAATCGTAGCTCACAGGATATAAACATTTAATTAATATATAACTGCTTGCTACAAACTAAGCGACACGTGATCTGGTATTGTAATGTTTTTAATGAAGTTTTAATTTCTTCCAAATTTTTCAGGTAACCTATTTGTAAAACATTTGTAACTTTTTCTGAAGAGCTCTTATTTTAAATGCCCAGACACTGGCTTTATAGTCTTCTTTACACTCTCACATTCTTTTATTATATGCTTATATTATGATTGCAAGATTATGTAAAAATGCCTTGAATAAATGATTTCAAGTGTCTGTAGTGGTCATTTGTTGCTAAGTGTAAATAAATGATAGGATTTTCATTTTACGTTAAAATCCTAAAACCATATCTATGGTTGGTGGTTTGCTTAACTGCCTTTTTTATTAACAAACTGTTTAAAGAGCTCACATACCCGAAACTTGTCTTCGATGGATAAAAATCTAGCTAATGTTTCTTTTTTTTCTTTCTTTCTTTCTTTCTTTCTTTCTTTCTTTCTTTCTTTCTTTCTTTCTTTCTTTCTTTCTTTCTCTTTTTTTTTAAAGAAAAGGAGTGGGGAGGGGAAGAAGGAGATGGAGAGAGAGAATCCTAAACATGCTGGGCATGGAGCCTGACTGGGACTTGATCTCACAATCCTGAGACCACAGCCTGAACCAAAAATTAAGAGTCAGATGCTTAACTGACTGAGTGACCCAGGTGCCCCCCTAGCTGATGTTTTATTTTTTTTTAAGATTTTATTTATTTATTCATGAGAGATACAGAGAGAGAGAGAGAGGCAGAGACATAGGCAGAGGGAGAAGCAGGCTTCCTCACAGGGAGCCTGTGGCAGTACTCGACCCCAAAACCCCGGGATCATGACCTGAACCAAAGGCAGATTCTCAACCACTGAGCCACCCAGGTGCCCCTAGCCGATGTTTTAGAAAGAAACTCATACATGAATGGATCCTAACCTCTATCACCATTAACAACAACTTCTAAGGATGCAGAGCAGGCATTATGAGAACAATGGCACTCTAATTAGGGTTTATAAGAAATATATCTGAGCTTAAATACTCAAGAACTTATCCAATTCAAGCTACCAATTACTTATAAAAAGAACCATTGCTATTACAGTGACCCTTACCTAAATGTGGACCAGATTAGCATGGAAGCTGGTAACCCGGAAGGACAAACAGGCCTCAAACTGTGGACAAGTGCTTTGGGGGCATGATTTGCAAAACTAACTCACAAAAACAATTCATCTTTCACAAGCTCCTACAGGTAAAATGGATGTAGGCTTGTGGTGTAAATCTGAGTTGTATGGTATCTGGGACATTGCCAGTTTCATGCTTCCCTCACCTGTTCAAAGTATCTGAACACACTTTCATTATTAATGAAAATATGATTTCTTTTGTCTCATCAGTGTTCAGTGTTTCAAGCACTGTTGATTCAAACAAAAGCTCATGAAGCAAAGACAGGGGAGGGAGGATCTTTCCTTCTCAGAAAATGTGACTGCCTCATGTTACTTATTAATATTTCTAATACTTGCCATTGCTATTAGCAGAGGATTAATACAGAGGTTGAATAATCACTTAAAGCACATGTAGAGGAATTCCAGTTTTCACAAGACACGTTACTCAGAAAGAATCCCATAGAAGAAGTAGTATGGAAGATGTTATCACTATGGTGGAGATTCCCGGTACATATTACCATGTTAAAGAATCTCAGAAAACTTGCAGTAAAGAAGCCACTTTGTGTTATACAGTGTTTCTTAAACTTGATTTGCAACAGAAATCTTTTTTTTTTTTTTTTTTTTTTTTTTTTAAGTAACACCTGCTATTCTGTTAAACCACTAATCTTGGAAGATTTGGGATTTGACATAGTAAGTAATAACCAGTTCATAAAAATGAGGTAATTTAGAAATTAATTAAAACAAATAGAAGAAGTGGAAGTATTTGGCCTATGGGACACAGAAACACCTAAAACCCACTAATTTACCACTTGCCTTGCTTTATAAAAAACCTAACCTAATGGTTAAATAGGATCCCTTCAGAGGAAACAATCATTAGTCTCTAAACCATGTTGTTTTAGAAGGAAATATAGATCTTTCCTATCTGATAACTTGAATGCTTTATTTAATCCCTATTAAAATCTCTCCTCTCCTAGATACTTGTTTATAACATTCAGAGTGAATCATTTTCTTCATGGTTCATTCATTTCATATAACTGAAATGATTTTATGTTACATGTAACAGCATAATTTAAGTAAATTTCAAGTAAATCTTTGAAATTCTCATAGTGGGCAGGGAAAAACAGGACTCAAAATGAATGACTTGGAAGGATATGTGCATATATTTATAATTTGCTGCCAAGAACTTGCTACTTAACTATGAGTAATAGGCACCAAATTTGGAGACAGAAAAAAAAATATAAAGCCACAGACCAAAAGGTGAATCATCAATACAATGACCAAGGATATGCCCTCACTGTTAGAAGGAGAACATCACTAGTTCCCAATTTCTTAAACTGGTCAAACTGGACTTCATGACAACTGTATGTAACAAGGATTAAGGACAGATGTAATGACAGAGACTGGTAAGAAACAATTCCTTGTAGCAAATGATTCAAATAATATTGAATCTTCATTACACTTATCTTTATTGAGATAATGCAGAAATTTGGAGCCTGACAAATTTGAAGCCAATATTATTATCGATACTGCAACCAGTCATTTGCAAACAGGTTAATTTTACCACTGTTAGGCAGAAAGCATCAGAGTCAATCATTTTTAGTTACTACAATGACATTATTTTTTTTAGAGGGATGGGATTAGGGAAAAAAACTTATAGCAATCTACAGTTGGGTTGCTGCTGGAGCTAACATTCATGGATATATCAACAATCTGGTAGTTGTGATCACTTCATTTTTGTTTTAGGGCTTTTTGGTTTCTGGTAACAGATATATATCTTAAACTTGCTTAGTCCAAAAAGGAATTCGTAGGCTCATGTAACCAAAAAGAGGAAGGGCAAAGTTCAGGTAAGGAGCCATTGTAATCAGAAATCAAATACCATCAAGGTCACATTCTTACTGCCTTTCCTCTGTTTATTTGTGTGTCAGCTTCATTCTCTTGGTTTAGTTTCTCCATGAAAATGGAAAACCTTGTTGCTTACAGATCAGCAAAAAGATCAGGGTGCTCATCTACCTGGCTTATTGATCAGAAAGAAAACAGCATTAATCTATAGCTCAAGTTTGAAATTCTACAGGATGACATTTCATAGTCTCAGACTCAGTCATGTGCCAAACTCAGACCCAGTAATATGGATATTAAGATAGGTCTAGATTGAGTCAGGTGTTTTTCTTACTCAATCATCAAAGTCAAGGACACACGGTCAGGTAAGAGAATGGCTGCCCCTATCCAAACAATAGCTGCATTTTGGCTTTTTGGGTGGGCGTGTAAGGAAAGAGAGGGAAAAGAAAATGATTACTCTAGCAGTAGGGATTGAATTATTATGGGCATTGTCAATGAGAGGATTACTGGGAGCCAGCAAGCCACCCTATTTATGTTTAACAAAAAGTTGAACAAAATCAATGTCTATATAGTCCAACTCATGACCTTTCCTTCCAGCTACTCATTTAACTGATTTCTGTGAAGAAAACCCCATATTATCAGTATCAAACGGCTGATTTTTCCTCCAGAAAGTAGTGCCATCCTGCTCTCCCTTTCAGTGCTATGCCTCCCCTACTGGCAGGGCTAAACAGCCGGCTCACTCTCAACCCACCTTTACTGTGTCATGAAGTCTTAGTAGGACATTTCAGAATGGAAGCTCATCCTTACTGGTAAGAAGACTTTAGTTCTTGCTTATCCAAATACAAGGATCAACCCAGAGAGAAAAAGAGAAAAGAACAAGAGAAAAGGCATTGTTTTAAGGTTCTGTTTGTCCAGGTGTTACCCATTTCTGTCAACTCCTCCCCCATGCTTCTATCCTGTTGTTAATTTTTGAGCATCCATGAGAGGCTCTCTCTGGCAGGGATACCTAGAAGAGGGGGCATTGCACTCTTTATTTCTGTTACTTACATTGTGCTTTACACACTTACAGTCTCTGTAGCATGGTATACCCATGCTTTATAGTTCAATCGTAGAAAAAAGACAGAGGGAAAACTCAGAGAAAAAAACACAACACAATCCCAGTATTCTGGAACACCTGAAGTGGTAATGAGAACCTTGGGTGAAAGTAACTAGCAGTCAGCTATGCTCATCCATCTCTCAGTATTCTATTGCTTACACCATTCTTTTAAATCCAGGGTATAGAAAACTGACTTGCAGTTGACACTGGGGTGAGGCGGGGGTGGTGTACAGATACGCAACTCATTCCAGAGGTGTCTGAACCTGAGTCCAAGAGCATTGGTGACTTGGCCAAATTTTCTTGGCAGATCAGAGATCTAAGGAGATGAGATCAGAGGGATGGGAAAAAAATATACACATGTGGTGGCTTCTTCCCTAATTTAGGCAACCTGCTATCTGGAAAATACCCTATCAAGCCAAAATTGTACCCAAGATTCAGGCTGACCAGGGATGTCTTTTAGTCCCCAGGGAGTTATCCTGTTATTGTTTCAGGGTTTGAGAAGGCTCATCAGGAGTGAAGCACACATAGCTTTATTCCCTGCTCCCACATCCCCAATTTTCTCAGGAGAATACTCTGGGTATTAGGGCTGTGGAAAAAAAAATGACATAGTCTTCTTTTCTCTGTCCTCATGCACAGGATTTCACAATTTAGCTTCAGGGGATCCCCAGGGATTCTTTCTCAGTGATCAACAAGAGGCCAGCATGAATGCTTTAACCTCAGACACTGGTCTCATTTGAATCCGGGGGGGAAAAAAAAATCCAAGACTGGTACTTTACCCTATCAGAATATTTTGGATCTTTACTCAAAATCAATATTTTCATCCTATTTCCACTTAAATCATTTAAGTTGGTGATCATCAATCAATAATATTCACTGAGGTAACTAACCACTAAGAACCACTGTTCTTTAATATCAGCAAAAATCTAATTAGTATTCATACTTCAGAAAGTGTTTCATAACTTTATTTTTTTAGTTGGTTCATTTCAATTACGATCAAACAAGGACCACACATTGAATTTGGTTATTATGTGTTTTCAGTTGCTTTATAATATAGATTTTCCTTTTATCATTTTTCCTTTACTTGCTATTAATGTGTATGAAAAATAGGGATTTTTATAGGATACCTGTTGTTTCAGAATTTTCCATATTCTAGATTTTGGAGACTATATCCTGGT